AAGTTGAGGGAAACAAAGAAATGGAATGGGCACGGAAGGGTGAGAGGTGTAGGTAGGAAATGGATGAGACTGGGCCACAGTCAAGGCACGGGGCTGGATTTCTGGTGTTTGCCGTCTTGGCATCTACTAAAACTTCTCTCCAGGTTGTGCGGCCACATGCCAGCACAGAGCATCAACCAGCTCTTCAGAATTTACTGACTTGTCAAACTTTCCAAAGCAGCTTCTTTGCTGTCTTTCTTTTCTGTTTTTTGTTTTTTTTTTTTTGAGTCCGTCGCCCAGGCCAGAGTATAGTGGCAAGCTCATGGCCACCTTGTTGTCAGCCTGCTGGGTTCAGGCAATCTTTTCTCCTCAGCCTTCCAAGTAGCTGGAACTACAGGCACACGCTACCATGCCTGGCTAATTTTTTGATTGATTGTAGAGACAAGGTCTCGCTAAGTTGCCCAGGCTGGTCTCGAACCCGTGGGCTTAGGCAATCCCCTCACCTCGGCTTCTCAAAGTGCTAGGATTACAGGCTTGGGCCACCGCGCCTGGCTAGCAGCTACTTTCTGTGGTCTATGTTGGAACTGTCAGTCACACCAACCTTGAGTCATGGCATGTAAGAAATAACACCATCCAATAGACTCCGAATGCCTGCTTATGGGAATGCCCAAACAGAAAGGCACAAGTGCCAAAGACTTACTTCACATGGTGCCTTCATACTGTCTAGGGTAGAGAAATAATTGTCGGACTGGCCTATAATGTTGGCTCCCAAGGTGTGCGGGATTGAAGGAGACGTACCCAGACCCCTAGATACATTGTCTTCTCTTTTTAGCAACTAGGAGGATGGACTTCAAAGATGAGTTGTAGGTACATGTGTACCAGAAGCAGCATTAGGACACTAGAGAGGGGACAGAGAGACTTTTCTAGCTATGTGACCCTGGCCCTAAGACCCCTGTGTCTCAGTTTCCCCACCTGTCAAGAGGAGATAATAATCATCATCGTCACTGCACAGGGTTGGGTGAGTTAAGCAAAATATACATATAAAGTGTTAAGAACTGTGCCTGGCACTTAGTAAGTATTGATATTTTATGGCTCTTAGTAAATATCTCTTCAATGAATGTATAAATGTTAGTCATTACACAAAGTTAAGGCATCATTACTGCATGCTTGTGTCAGCTGATACTGGACTGATATACATTATCCTGTGAGTGAAGAAAGTTACAATGTTCACATAGTTTTCAGGAGGTGTATATGCAGGTGGCAAAATTAATTGTAGGCATACATTTGTCTTTCTCTAGCACCGGAAGCACAACTGGAGCTCTGCATGTGTGTGAGTTGGCCATTTTTATAAGGTTTCGAGTACTCAGGTGCCCAAATACTGCTGCTTCGGGGAATTCTCCAAGAGCTGCTAGCACTGTTTCTGGTCCTCTGTGGGTGTTTCCTAACATTTGCCATGGATGTGTGTGTATGTCTCTCATCTCCTCTGTTGTGTGGAGTTTCTGGAGGGCAGGATCCCCAGTAGTGGTCTACATGAAGTACGGGGTCTGACACTTTGTTCACAAACCCATTCTAGAAAAAGTGCTCCATACCTCATTGCTGAATATCACCACGGTCACCTTTGAAGTACTCTCCTTGGGAAGCTATGCACCAATACCAGCGCCTAGTTCACCCATCAAAGCAACTTGGGAACTCTTTTCCTGGAATGGCCATTAGAACTGTCGTCGTATTACCCCTGATGTCTTGAATGTCATCAGATATCTTTCTTGCCATATTTCCTTTATCTTTGGGTAAACAAAAAAGTCATGGGGGGCCAGATCAGGTAAGTGGGAAGGGTGTTCCAATGCAGTTATTTGTACAGTGCTACCAGCGGAAGTGCCCGCTGGCAAGTCCGCAAACTTAATTGTCATTGCTCAACAAATAACGATGACAGCTCGAAGGTCCATTCCAGAAAAAGAGATCCAAAATTGCCCTGATGGGTGGACTAGGTGCTGGTGTTGGTGCATAGCTTTCCAAGGGAGTACTTCGAAGGTGTGACCATAGTGATATTCAGCAATGAGGTATGTAGCACTTTTTGTAGGATGACTTTGTGAACCTAATTGTCAGACCTCATAGGTAGTAAGTAAATACTAGATGCCTAGACCAGATACATTTTTCAGGAAGATAGGACAATACATTGGACTTTTATTAGAAAACATTGCTTAGGATGTAAGCATTGGAGGGATGTTATGTGTATAGCTGCCCCTTGGCTCAGGGAGATAAAGGAGTGTTCTCATCTGTTGCATCTGACTGTGTGGTTCTGCTAAGCTGTCATGGTCACCCAGACAACAGACATGGACCTGGATGCCCATGAGAACCCAAAGAGGTGTGAGATGTGGTCCCTGCTCAGGCTGTGGAGATAAGCCAGACCCTGGCTGCAGATTGAAGAAAGTAACAGGCATCTTGTGGTTCAGACTTCAGAGGGGATGAATGCGGCCTGGAGGCTGAGCAGGGGGGAGTGCTGCCTGTTACCTTGGGAAAGTGGGTTGACAGCAGCAACAGCATTTGCAGTGAGGTCATGAGTTACTTCTTTGGCTTGATTGATGAGGTTTGTGTGACTGAGAACCAGTATGTGCTTCAGAGCCCATGTTGTTTTGGCTGCAGACAGCTTGGCACTGGAGTCACAGCCAAACCTGGAGTCCTTTCTGGTTCTGCTTTGTCAGCTGCATATGGCAGGTTGTTAAGACTACTTTGAGTTGAAAGTTCTGTCTGGCACTTCTCTGAAAGTCTCGCCTTCCCTGAGTGGGGATAAGAATGGTGCCTGCTTTCCAGGGTTTTTGTGAGTATTCATGAGATGGTAGGCCTCACTGTGATTAGGTGGGTTGGACTTAGAGGGAATGCTCAGGAAACTGCTTTGTCAGGTGATCACCTCTGTCACCAAAGGTGATGTGGATAGCAAGACCCCATTGCTACAAAAAAAAGCAAAAAATTAGCCAGGCATGGTAGCTCATGCCTGTAATCCCAGCATTTTGGGAGGTGGAGGTGAGAGGATTGCCTGAGCCCACAGGTTCAGGCAACTTGGCAAGACCTTGTCTCTACAATAAGTCAAAAAATTAGTCGGATGTGGTGGCATGTGCCTGTAGTTCCAGCTACTTGAAAGGCTGAGGCGAAAGGGTTGCCTGAGTCCAGTAGCTCGAAGCTATAGTAGCTGTGATCATGCCACTGCATTCCAGCTTGGGCAACAGAGTGAGACTCTGACTAAAAAGAACAAAAAGTCCAGTTCACACTGAAGCCAATTTAATGCTTCTCCCTTCTATCAAGCTCAGGAATCTCAGAAAACAGTTGTGCGGAAGGGATGGCGTTGGCATCCTATTTTTGTTGATGTTTTTGGTTCTTGTTCCACCTCTTTGACTCCTTCCACCCCTTTCTGGTTCCCCCAGAGTCGAAGGTCAAGAGGATGGGAGATTAGAGAAATGGGCAGACTTTTCACTTAGCGAGTGTTGGTTGACTCCCTCTAGGCTGTCACATGTCTCCTGCCATGGCTGGTCTTTTATGGGGCACATCAGTGGTTTTTTGCAGCTGTCTTCCCCTGCCTGTCACCCCACCTCAGGGACCTTACAAGGACGTTTCCCCCATATCCTGTCCAACTTGCCTCTACAGCCTCCCTTTCCTACCCAAGCCGCCTCAGCTGGCAGACAGGCCACCGCGTCCTGCAGGGTTTTGCCCGTGGGTGTCTGGCTGTCTCTGAGCTGTCCTTCTAGCCCCTGGGAAAACCCAGCCTTTGTCCTACCAGAGCTGCCCTGTTGGCTGCTTTTCCCACACAGCCATCCTGGTAGCTGCACCTGGCTTCTTGTTTCTCCAGGTAAGGGGCAGGCACCCCGAGAGCTCCTGGGAACTCTGGTTCAGGAATGGTGTGGGGTGGGCTCGTGAGTTTGAGCAGCTCTGCAGCACTTCACTGGGCCACACGGTGCCAGGTCCCTCTCTTGCGGCTGTTTGACTCTTACTAGGGCCTCCCTCCTATACTCTCATGGGGTGGGAAGGAGAGATGCTCTCCTCTTCTTCTTCTTTTTTTTTTTTAAAATTTGGGGTCTCACTTTGTCACTCAGGCTGGAGTGGCACAATCACAACTTACTGCAGCCTCGACCTCCTGGGTTCAGGTGTTCCTTCTGCCTCCTGAGTAGCTGGGGCTATAGATAATTTATTTTTATTTTAGTATTAAGAAGGAAAATGTTCAATAACCTTTTTAATAGTGCTTTATCTTTTTATCAAGTATTTATTTGAATTTTACAACTGTGTGTTTAGCAAATATTTTATAGAAATTTCATTTGTTTAAATTCGGCTCTACTTTTTTTTTTTTTTAAGTCAGGGTCTCACTGGAGGTGCAGTGGCATGAAGACAGCTCACTGCAACCTCCAACTCATGGGCTCAAGTGATCCTCTTGTGCCAGCCTCCCAAAGAGTAGCAGGGACTACAGGTACATGCCTTCGAACCTGGCTACTTTTTTTATTTTCTGTAGCGATGAGGTATCGTTTTGTTGCCCAGGCTGATCTCAAACTCCTTGGCTCAAGTGATCCTCCCGTGGGCCTCCCAAAGTGCTGGGGTTACAAGTGTGAGCCACCATACCTGGCTAAGTTTTTGATTTTTTTTTTTTGTAGAGATAGGGTCTTGCTATCCTTCATGGGGCTCTTTCTCCCAAACGCATCTCTAACCCGCTCCGAAATAGACTGTGACATTTGGCCTTGTAAGTCAGCTCTTAAGCAAGTCCTTTGAGGATGGACCTAGCCCCCGTCTTTAGAAAGTGGGGTGTTTATCACCTACTGTCTTAATTTTGAGTCAGCAGAAAGCATCCCATCCTGTTCTTCATAACGTTCACAGTGCAGGGCCTGGTACCTACTGAACACTCGGTGGATGTTGGTATTATTATTATTTAACTTCTTTGGGATACAATTTTCTCATCTGGAAAATGGGATTTGTGGTAAGCCTGCCACCTAGGGCTGTTAATGTACATGAAAGTATTGTGAGTCGGTTTTCTTTTTATGCTTTAGCCTCAACAGAATGGCATCTCTCCACGCATGTTTAAGGCTTTTGTAAGCAAGAGCCACCCGGAATTCTCCTCTAATAGACAGCAAGACGCCCAGGAATTTTTCTTACACCTGGTGAATCTAGTCGAGGTGAGTCAGTCAGTCTTCGTGAATGCTCCAAGGGGTTGTAAGAAGTGTGCCCGCCACTCAGTGCAGTCCCCTGGGGCTTGGCCACACTGCCTCTCGCTCTCTTCGTACTCAGTCTTCCCCTGTTGGCTGGTTCAGCATCAGTTTCTTGGAGGCTTTTTTGTTTAGCCCACTTGATGTGACGCTCCTCATGGTCCCAATTTCCAGACACTTGTGAATCTTTTTGTACTCCTTTTAATTGGTATGTATTATAGGAGTGCTTGCTATTTCACTCACTGTTTATTTTTTTCTGGTCTCAGTGACAAAGTTCCTTGAGAGCCCTGTGTGGTATTTGGTGTCTTCCTGCCACTGGTCAGAGATGATCACTCTGCTCATGTCAGAGTTGAATCACAATCAATGCTATGATATAGGCACACACACATACACACACAGGGTGTGCCAAAAGTATGCACATTTAAAAAGATGTTATCTATGTATCACTTTTCGAAGTTGAATTAAATTATGGTAGCAATGTATAGTATGATATTCGCTCAACCGTGCTTCCGTCATTTTCTTTAACTATTCTGCTTGTCACATTGTGATGCTCGCATTCACTTGATTAATGCCATCTTTTGAGCAAACGTCATACTTAAAAAGTATATTCATTTTTTTGGCATCCTCATATGTAATATATTTATAAATATATATAACATATATATTTGCTTACCAAGAACCTGTCAAATTTTTTTGTATATTATTTTTTGCTTACCAAAAATAAATGCTGTGGTTTTTGAAAACCAAGGAGAATTCCTGACTAAAGGTTTCTTCTCCTCTTAAAAGCAACCAACCCCCCGCCCTGGATTACAACAGTGTTCTTTGTGGCAAATATAGAAAACACAAAGGAGAAAATAAAAATCCCCCATAATACCAGCCCTATAAACAGCCAGGGTTAACCTGTTGGTGCATGTTTCTGCAGTTACTTCCCAGGTCATATATTAATTCTCTACCTGCTGTTTTGTAAGCAGTGTTTTTACTCACCCTGTTGTGAGCGTTTTGCCACATCAATATACACACAACATAGCATGATTTCTTTTTTATTTGCATATAATTTACATGATTGAACCATACATGCCTTCATTTTTCTGGGGCAGCTTTTTATTCCCCTCCCATTTTTTTTTGTTTGGCTTCTTTTCCTTCTTTCTTTTCATTCTGTCATTCCGCCTCCCATGATTTTTAATTTAATAATAATAAAATATTAATTCACGTGCTGAACCACATTTTATTTATCCAATCTTCCATTTTTGGACTTTAAATAAATTCCAGCATTTTGCTGTTATAAGGTACTCTGGTGAATTGGCCTGCCCAGAGGAAAGGATTAGTAACGCCAGATCTTTGTACCAGATTTATAGTTGACTTTATGCTAATTTTTAATGGTTTCATATTCATACATTTACTAATGTGATATATAATCCAATCTCCAGAGGAATCGCATCGGCTCAGAAAATCCAAGTGATGTTTTTCGTTTTTTGGTGGAAGAACGTATTCAGTGCTGTCAGACCAGAAAAGTCCGCTACATGGAGAGGGTGGACTACCTGATGCAGTTACCTGTGGCCATGGAGGCAGCGACCAACAAGGGTAACAATTCCAAAGCGGGAAATTAGCACTTGTATCTTCATATGGGAAACCCTGAGCTGAGCTGATGTCTGGTTTGCACATCTCTTTTCATCTTTTCCTTAGTTCCCATGTGACTTTCACTTGAGAAGAGCCTAACAGGTTTTGGGGAGGCATTATGGACGAGGGATTATGGAGGAACTGCCTGCAAATTTGGCCAAGCCAGTACAATTTTGTAGGGAATTATTGGTGATGATATAGGTAGAAGATTTTTGACGTCATCACTCATAAGTTGTGCTATAAGGTCTGAAGGAAATGATCAGAACTGCACTTTTTGAAGTTAGGCACAGGTCTTTTGAAATAATCCAGCTTTGACATCGGAGCATTTAAGATGCCTCTCCAGGCAGATAAATCATAGCAGAACTCTTTGTAGGAGCAAAGCCCATTCGAAGCTTCTCTGGACTTTGGAAGAGAGAAAGAGTCAGATATTTGGCCACCATGTTAGGTTCTCAGGGGAAGGTTCCTTCTCTTTTCATTAATCTAATCTATTTTTTCCCATGCATGCTGAATAGACACATGGCATTTCTTTGAATCATATTTCAGAAGCAAGGTGGGTGTGATGGCTTATGCCTGCAATCCTAGCACTTTGGGAGGCCGAGGTGGAAGAATTGCTTGAGCCTGGGCAACTTAGTGAGAACCCATCTCTACAAAAAAATAAGCAAAAATTTAGTTGGGCATAACTGTGCCCACCTGTAGTCCCAGGTATTCAGGAGGCTAAGGCAGGATGGTTGGAGCCCAGGAGGTCAAGGCTTCAGTGAGCCACAATCGTGCCACTGCACTTCAGCCTGGGTGACAGAGTGAGACCCTGTCTCAAAAAAAAGAAGCAAAAAAAGATAAAATAGCTGCTGTATTGCTCATCTTCTCTGAACTGGTAATTTTTATAAAGTTCAACAATTTCCTGGATGGCCTTTTATTGATTTTTGGTGTAAGGGATCAATTTATTATGCTAATTGGAAAGTGATGATTATGATGATTTTAAGATGAAATAATTTTCATTTTCTATAAGCTCATGGAGCTTTGATGAGCTTTAAAATTCTTATCCATTATGCAAGGTAGAAATAGGGGGTGGGGTCTGTGGCATGTTTCCTTTTTAGAACTAGGCTTAATTGCTTTTTCTTGCCTGCCTCAGGGACACTGACTTACATGTTCTGTTCTGTTCTGTTCTGTTCTGTTCTGTGATCTTCTGCAACTCACTGTGTATAATTTATGAGTGGTAACTTTTTTCAAAAAGGAGATTTTTAATTTAGACTCTGCAGTCGATTGCTGCAAACACATTAGCCTCCTAGATATAAGTACATCATAAACCTATTGTGGATGGTGGAATTTATTTTATTTTTTTGAGTCAGAGTCTCACTTTGGCAGGCTAAAGTGCAGTGCCATGCTCATGGCCATTGCAGCCTTAACCTGCTGTGCTTAGGTGATCCTTCAGTTTCAGCCTTCCAAGTGACTGAAACCACAGGTGTGTGCCACCATACCCAGTTAATTTTTTGGTTAATTGTAGAGACGAGGTCTTGTCAAGTTGTCTAGGCTGGTCTTGAACCTCTGGACTGAGGTAATCCTCTTACCTTCGCTTCTCAAAGTGCTGGTATTACAGGCATGAGCTACTGCACCCAGCAGAATTAATTTTAAAAGCAGATGTGTTTAAGAAGACAATATGTGCATAAATGTGCTTACAAACTGATAAATCAGGAGTGATCTTTTTTGAGTAATACATGATAAATGACCGGAAAAGCCTTTAAAGTTTGATTTATTAATAAATTTTTGGCTATAGGCAAGTTTCCAGGATACCTGCTGCCTCTTGGGCGGTTCATGGTCCACTCACTCCTTTTTCCCTGGTATTTGAGTAGGTATAACCTAGAGAGGCCTTCTCAATTGGTAGCCTTGATATCAGAGGTGTTGGGTAACCTCACCAGTTTGTTTCAGTAGTGTTGGCTCGTATCACGGGATGTGTAATGGTGGATAACTGCAGGCCTATATTTATCCTTCTCCTTGGCCCTAAGCCTTTCTGAGATCCATGACCTCTAATGATAATTGCTGGTGGAACCAAATCAGAAAATGTATAACACTGGGCCTGCTCTTTGTCAGGAGCTCACTGGTAGTTCTTTTTGTTTTTGTCAGTCTCCTACCCCCCCTTTGGTTATTTTATTATAATGCAATTTGAAGTTAACAGGAATTTTTGTTGTGGTGGTTACTTTTTTTGTGTATGTGTTTCTGATCATTGGCAAAACTTGATCTTTTGACACAATTTAACATCCCTTTTTGGCCTCATCTATGGGGTAGTGGAGGGAGTGCTGATCAGGGTTTTAAGTCAAGCTTTATTAGTGATTGTCTGGTTTTGATCTTGGGCCTCAGTTCTTCATCAGTGAAAGGCTGAGAAGGGGCAAGCTCTTGGGTCTCTTTGAGCTACAAAATTCTCTGATGTGAAGGCTTTGTGTTTGGGGGATGGCGTTTGAATAATCGCAGTCTTGATCTTTAGACAAATGAGAGACCATGTTTATGGGCATTTGTCACACTTGGGTCTGAACACCTGGGAAAGCTCACAGTTGCCTCCTGTCAGCCTCAAAGGGGAACAGACAAAAGGTGTGAGTGGTTTGATGCTGCCTGTCAATGCCACTCTGTGACAGCACCAGAACAACCTGTCAGTGGGCCTGTCCGTCTCTGTAAAGGGCGATATATAAGTAACCCCGGCCCAGCCCAGAAGGCTTCAGGGAAGACTGCCCAAAGAGGGTTTTTTCATTTCCAAAAAAGAAGAGCGATTGCAAGGTCGTTCATTTTCTCTTTTACTCAGATGAACTGATTGCTTATGAATTAACGAGACGGGAAGCAGAAGCGAACAGAAGACCCCTTCCTGAGTTGGTGCGTGCCAAAATACCGTTCAGTGCCTGCCTGCAGGCCTTTTCTGAACCAGAAAATGTTGATGACTTCTGGAGCAGTGCCCTACAAGCAAAGTCAGCGGGCGTGAAGTAAGTGTGTATGTGAGGAGGGCCCTCAAGAGGGAGGACGGGGTATACCAGAGGGAGCAGGGTGTCATGTGAATGTGTGCGTGATTGTTCATGTGTGGTGGACTGGGGTTATGGTTCACACACCTAATTGTCATAGTCTTCACTTGGATGAGACCTGTCCAATAAAATAGGCCTGTAATTCCTGTGATATGCTGGGGAGGAGAGGCCTTTGTTTTAAAATGCAAGGCTGTGGTTTATCCTTTATTAGGAACCTTCCTTCCTTCCTCCCTCCCTTCCTCCTTCCCTTCCCTTCCCTTCCCTTCCCTTCCCTTCCCTTCCCTTCCCTCTCTCCCTCCCTTCTTCCTTCCCTCACTCTCCTCCTCCTCCTTCTCCCCTCCCCTCCCCTTCTCTTCTTCTTTTTGCCAAGAGGGTACAGCCAATAAATACTTCCTACCCTTAAATGGCAAGAATATTATTACAAAAATTACAAAAGAAATTACAAAAATACTTAAGGCAGCCCTCAGTATTTAAACTTTATTATGGTCTGTTTTAATTCCACAATTAAGGACTTGGTCCAGAACTTGGTTGACTGTGCTTCTCCTCGGAGACTAGGAGTCTCGGGGCATCTCAAAGTAGATGTAAGGGCTCCTGAGTGTTGTTCATTTTTCTATTTTCCATGGCCTGTTTTCACTCAGGTACATACAAAATTTTTTTTCACACTTGACAACTTGGTTTATCTGATACAGTAGAGTCCTGGCCAACATAATTCATATCGCTGTACTTCATTGGGAAAAGAGGGCTTATAGTGGCATAAAATGAAAGGAGATCTGAAAGCTTTTTTTGTAAACCACAACCTCAGGTAGCAATTGAACCTAAATCATTTCTTCCTTATGAAACCCATCCCACAGGATTCCACTTTGTTTCACATTATGGACTTCCTATGCTAAAACTGGGAAAGTAAAAACAATTTATTTCTTAAAGTTTAAAAAAGGCATATTTTCTTAAAATAGTTTTTCAAAAAGCCTTATATCCAGAGGAGGATTGAGAATAGTTCATTCGGTTATCAGTTGCCATTGTTGGGTAAGTTTCCATCCCGGGACTGCTCAGTTGTGGTGTGTGTGGATGGTTGTGTGTATGTGTGCACATGTGCAGATGCATGGTTGTGTCCTAACAGATAACAGTTGATGAGTTGACAAGTTCAAGGTGAGAGATACACTTCATTGTAACTTGGAGACATCTTTGGGCAGTTAGAAATCTATACTATTAGTGGTGGAAGCAGTTTCTTTAATCATTGACAATAGGCTTAAGATTCCTTACACATTTCTCTCTCTCTGTGCTTTTGTTCTGCTTCTGTTCTGGAGGTGGAAACTGATCGTGGGACCAGGAAACCTCGAAAGTCCCTGGCATCCAGTGTAAGCTTCAGAGTAGTGTGTTCTTCATTTGCCCGTCCCTTGGCCACTTGTTTCTGCTCTTCAGAATAGTGGTCTGGATGTCTTAGAAGTGTGGGTGTGACACCCTCTGGCCTGCTTCTCCTGGTGTGTGCCTACCAGGAAGGAAGCTTCTTCACACTTGGAGGGAGTTCGTTTTTAAAATGGAGCTGGGAGGCATTTGCCTTCCGCAGACAGATAGATTCTCTGAACCCGGGGCTGGCAGTCAGGAGGTCTGGATTCTTCTTTCGTGTTCACTTCCCACCTTTTCTTCTGTCCTGGGGCAAAGTCATGGCCCGGTGTCCTTCTTCCACCTACAACAGAAGAGGCTTGCTGATGTGAATTTCTCTGCAGATGCTACAAAATATTTAGTTGTAGACAGTGTTAGCATAACTCTCCAGAATCCTTGAGGAGGGGTTTCTGCTTTATATTGTCCTTAAAAGGACTTTTTTCCTTTTCTTTTTTTTTCCTTATATACACATGCTCTTGTATATGCCTTTTATATACATGAAACGAATTAGTGTTGGTTGTATCACAGTTGTTAATCATTGAAAACTGGTCCTTGTGTGGAAGGGAAAAAAAAACAGTGTTGAAAGTAATAAAGCAACTGCCATTTATTACTATTGCCAGGTCATGTGTTAAGCACTTCTCAGTTATCACATTTAATTTTCTTGGCAATGTGAGGTAGGTACCATTATTTTCTCATTTTGCGAATGAGAAAATGAAAGGAGTAATTTGTCAGTAAGTGGCAGAGATTGGATTCATTCAGTTCTGGTTGAGTTACAAGTTTAAATCCTTTTTTTCTTCTTTTTTTGAGATAAGGTCTCTCTCTCTCTCTCTGTTGCCTAAGCTGGAGTGCAGTGGCACAATCATGACTCATTACAGCCTCAACCTCCTGGGCTTAAGCGATCTTCCCACAACTGCCTCTTGAGTAGGGACTACAGGCGCACACCACCATGCTCTGCTAGTGTCTTAAAAGTTTTTGTAGATGAGGTTTCGCTGTGTTGCCCAAGGTGGTCTTGAACTCCTGGACACATGTGATTCTCCTGTCCTCGCCTCCCAAAGTGCTGAGATCATAGGCATGAGCCACCATACCCCGCCCAAGTTTAAACTCTTAATGCCTGCTATTTAGCACCCTGTACTTCTTGTCATGCCTCCTCATCCTTATATCCTTATAGAGCTTTGCTTATTCCTTATTATGCTTTATCATAGTTCAAATATTAGTTTTTGGGAAGCCGGTTCAGTGGATTTCTTAAAAACATTTTTATTTATATTTCCAGCAATGTAGACTGTGACTCGTCCTATGTGTTAATTTGGCGCCTCAATCTTTTCTTTTGTTAGACCCAGTGTTGAAAGACTGGAAAAGGCATATGTCCTAAAGATCTTGGTGGATCTTGGCTCAGTATGGGCCAGGCATAAAGGCCCTTCCCTTAAATGACCCCGAACACACTGGGAAGAATATTAGTCTTTGGAAAGATCATTCACCCAGAAAATATTATTGCTCCCTCAGCATATTATAGGCAATGAGTTGAGTGAGAGCTAATTCCTACTCTTGAGTAACTCACAGGGTTAATAGGGCAAAATTTTTCCTGAACTATAATCATGTATAAACAAGCATGGTGTGGGGTACTGAGCACATGGGTGGGTAGCGTGTGAATGCCCCATCTTGAGCTTACTGATGTGACCTTGTCCAAGTGATCTCACCTCTGTAAGCCCTGGTTTCCTTATTTATAAACTGGGGGTAATAATAGGACTTTCTTTATAGGATGGAGGTAAGGATTAAATGAGATAAACCATGTAAAGTACTTTGCACAGTGTTTGACACAGAGTAAACGTAGGGTGCAATTGCTATTTTTATATTTCTTTTGCCTTGGATTATATAATTTGAATGTAGTTGATTAATCATTGCATTTTTGACATATTTAGTAGAGAGCGTAGAGTTATGGTTTTTTGAGTTGTCAGATTTTCAGTACAATCGACTATCTTAATACTTTGAGACAGAGATATTGTTTATATATTTTTTCCAACAACAGTTTTGTCAGGACATAGTCTAAGCACTTTCTGTCTTAACCCATTTAATTCCCATGAGAACTCTGAAGTAAATTTGCTGTGTGTCTATCTAGGTCTTCTTGAATGATTTACATTCTGATGGGCTTCATTAAAAACATATAGCTTTCCAAGAAAAAGTTTAATTCTGGGAATTAATTTTAGAAATAAAAGAGTAAGCAGAGCATAATTTATACTTTTGCTGGATTTAACTAACAACCGTGATGTCCCCAAACTACAATAAATGAATGCAAAGTATTGCTTTTCAGATTAATTTGAGCAGATATATATTGAATGGTTACTACGTGTGTGGTTCAACTTAAAAAGATGAATAAAGAGTTCGAGGGTGGTGGCTCATGCCTATAATCCCAGCACTTTGGGAGGCCAAGGCGGGAAGATTGCTTGAGGCCAGGAGTCCAAGACCAGCCTGGGCAACATAGTGAGACCTCGTCTCTGCAAAAAATTAGTCAGGCATGGGAGTGTATGCCTGTAGTCCCAACTACTTGGGAGGCTGAGGCAGAAGGATTGCCTGAGCCCAGGAAATGGAGGCTGCAGTCAGCCATGATGGTGCATTCCAGCCTGGGCAACAGAGTGAGACCCCAGCTCAAAAACAAAAAACAAAAAAAAAACAAGACCAAGTTGAATAAAGAATGCTTACCCAGCAGGGGAAGTATAATGTGGATGCCATCTAAACCTGCTTTCTGGTACTTTTAGGTTGATAGCTACCCATAACAAAGTGATGTGTTAAATTATCCCTGCCCCAACCTCAAGTTCTTCCACTGCGCCTACCATGGCATCACCAACTGATGCCTCCCCAAGTACCACAGAGCATCTTTAAGAGTCTCAGGGCTCCTAAGTCACATTTTAAAAATTATTGTTTTACCAGTGACTTTTAGTTGATTTCACTATTATATATTTTCCAGACTTTAAGTTAATTTGGTAAGAAAAGGAGGTCAGAAAGGTGATATTATGTTAGTTGAAAATATTATAAAGCCAGGTGGAGTTTGTTGGTTTTAGGTGCAATTGAGGATTTGACAACATTTAAATGAGGGTGATTTTGTTTTGTTTTGTTTTATTTTTGAGCTGGAGTTTCACTCTGCCGCCCAGGCTGGAGTGCAGTGGCCTGCTCATGGCCACCGCAGCCTTGACCTGCTGGTCTCAGGCAATCCTTCCACCCCAATCTTCCAAGTAACTGGAACTACAGGCACACACCACCATGCCTGGCTACTTTTTTGATTTATTGTAGAGACGAGGTCTCGCCAAGGTGCCTAGGCTGGTCTCAAACCCGTGGACTCAGGCAATCTTCTTACTTTGGCCTCCCAAAATGCTGGGATTATAGGAATGAGCCACTGCACCTGGCAAGGGTGATGTTTATTACTGCTTCTCAGAAGACAGGAAAACCTAATTAGAGATAATATCTAATATCTGGGGAAATAATAATAGATCAGTTTCTTAGGATGGTATAGCTCCTGTTTTCTGAACATCTTGTTATTGCCCTTATCCTTCTACCAACCTTGTGATGGAGAATTTGAGGCACAAAGAGTTTAAATAACTTGCCAGGGAGTAATATACAGGTCAGTGGCAGCTCAGTTCAGTGTCCAAGGCTTCATGAATTCCAGCTCCTTTATGACAAGATAATCATCATGCTAATTTCTTAGGTGTATACAATACTCTCTAGTGTGTCAGGAGGTTCCACATCATCTAATGAGTGTTGTACAGACTAGCGGGTAGATATTATTTATAAATCCATTTGCAGATGTAAAAACAAGAGCCTCAGGGAGAGTCAGTGATTTGCCCAGATTTGGTGGGAATAAAGTGGTATATGCAAGACTCAAATTCATATCCTTCCACTCTTTTTTTGTCCTGTGCTCTGTCCCTGTACTCTGGCTTCTCTGCTACACTAGGGGGCAGCAATGCATCTACGTTTGTTTTCTGAATCCTGGGACGATGCCTTCCAAAGAGAAGGCAATGGCTTGGATCTAAAATGTGGGCTCTGGGAGAGGCTGTTCTAGAATCTCTTGTTTTAAAAGATGCCTGTGATACCTGTTTTCTGTTTTAAACACATACCTATCACATCCACATTGACAATCCAGTAGAAAAGGTTGTTTAAAACATGGTAATAAATGTGGACTGAATGAACTGGAGCTGGAGCATGAATTTGATGTACAAGTTGAACAATCCATCCATAAAATTGTCAGATCAGCCAGGCAGTTCAATCTTTCTGAAAGCTCGAAGAGAACTCAAGATGTTGCTCATGTGTATTAACTTTAAACATTGAGGCCCAGATTTAGGTGTTTTGGATACTTAGCCCATAATATGTCTACCCCTAGCATCCATTGAAGTACAGCAATATTTGAATGAGACCCTGGCGTTTCCAATAGTCAACCTCCACCAAGGTTCCAATAACCCCTCCCTATGCCAGGTCCATGCTGTAAGATCGTAGAAGTGGAGGTGGGGTGTTTCAGGATCATTTGGGCAGTTTTTTCAAATGCCCATAAACACTTACAAATACTGGGAGTGCCAAAAATAGATATATACATTTATTTCATTTTTCATTTTTTTTTATTTTAAAGATGTGGGGTACAATTCAGGATTAGATATACAAGTGGTCATTGTACCGGTAAATGTAGGCCTCCCTTTGGTCCGCACTTCACCTGGTTTGAGATCAGGTACCCTTATTGAATGATTTACATTCTGATGGCCTTCATTAAAAACATATAGCTTTCCAAGAAAAAATTTAATTCCAGGAATTAATTTTAGGAATAAAGGAGTAAGCAGAGCGTAATTTATACCTTTGCTGGATTTAACTCTCTTGGCAGTTTCTGGCTACTGCCAATCCCTTTTTTATAGTATTGTGGTACATGTTCAGGGTCTGCTTGTGAGTGAGAACATGTGGTACTCAGTTCAGGTGTACACATTTTAAGAGATTTCATCTATTTATCGCTGTTAGTTGGCCATAATCAGAAGCGTCTGGACACTGATGGTAACCACTTTGAGCACCTCTTGTAATTGCAGAAGTCAAATGTGGTTTGTATTTATCCTTTGTTATGTATATTGAGCATTACAATTTTAATACTTTTTCCTTTCTTAAAATGTGTAGACATTTTTTGGCACCCTGTGTGTGTGTGTGTGTGTGTGTGTGTGTGTGTACACTAAATTCTAGCATTGATTTTAGAAAAATAAATGATTGAAAAGCATTTTTCAGAAATAAAATGCCACAGCATAGTGAAAGTAATAATTTTGAAATGGGTCCAAAATCATTCTCAAGGGACAGTGTTCTCCCATGCTAACTATTCTCTTCTTGTGAAGAGGCCAGGACGAGTGAGCAGGAGAGTGTGAGTGTGTGTCCACTTATATGTCTGTGTTTGCATGCTCCTCCTCTTCAGATCAATCATTGGAATGGCCAGGTGTGCCTCAGACAAAGCTTATGATGCTTGAACTGTATTCACAATTCGCATTGCCTTGTTTCATTGATATATCCCCTTGTGTTTCCCAGAACATCTCGCTTTGCCTCATTCCCTGAATACTTGGTAGTGCAGATAAAGAAGTTCACTTTTGGTCTTGACTGGGTTCCCAAAAAGTTTGGTAGGTATCTTTTGCATGCTTTTGCTCAAAACATTAAATTAGCCACTTAAAAACATGGCATGTGAAAGAGCCCATGTAGTTGGCTGCCACAAACAGTTGTGCTTTATTCTTTTCTCCATGATCCCCACCTTCTCTTCTGAATCAAAGTGTATTATAAGCACCGACCACAAAAAATTCCCATCTGCCAACCTACCCTCCAGTAGTGGATTCTGGAATGACTGGATTCTAAGAGTGGGAAACAAATCTTCACATTGTCAGGTCAACTATACTTTACAAACCTTAACCTGTGGGATCTTGGTAAAATGCAGATGCTGATCCAGCAGATCTGGGGTGGGTCGGAAATTCTGTGTTCCTATCAAGGTCCTACGTGATGATGGTTCAACTCCAAGTAGTTGAAGATGCCTCTCCTCTTAGCATCCCTTCTCTGCCTCAGAGGTAGGCAGGTGTGGCTCATGACATTCACTTATATACACATGTTATTATTAATAAAATAGAGACAGTTGCATCACACAGTCAAAAACAAATGTGATTTTGGCTCCATCAGGCTTTCTTTCTGTAAAGTTGGCTGAAGTGATTTCCTAGAGGCCTCTAGCACTAACAGTGACATAGCACTTATTTGCTGTGTGACATTGTGCTGGGCTGTTACCTTCAGAGAAGATTCTCACTTTTCCTGGTAGAATAGTTTTGTGAGAGGAGAGGCAGAGGTTAGGGTGCTGATCACTCAGCTTTTTCTTTTATAGACCTGAAAAGTATCTGACAGAGAAAGTGGATTTGCTCTAAAGGCTTTAAACTACTTTGGAAATAGTTTTCTTCATTTTCTTTGTTATTGGAATTTCTGTAAAGGAATGAAAATTTGAATCAGATTTCATTGACCTGCTAAATTTAAAGGAGCCTCAAAATGTTCTTGAATGAATCTGAATTTTTCTCTTGAGGGGCAATTGTATTGCTTTTGTGGGTCAAACTTTATGTTTGGCTTTGCTGCCTCCTGAAATTTCCTTTTTTAAAATGAAGCATTCTTTGGGTTGTTGTTTTAAAATAGGATTTACGTATCTGGTATCCTAACTGATTTTGGGGATGGTGTTTTCAGGTTCTGCTTGCTAACCCAAAAGACATCTGTATCAACATTTGAACACATTTTTTCATAATTATCTGAATATTTGCAATACTAAGTGGTTTTCCGACTGGTAATTTTTTATTTGAGTCAGTCAACACCTTAACAATTGAGTCAAGAAATTTTAAAAAGAAAAAAAACTACTCCAAAGACTAATACACTTGAGATTCAATTAATTTCTTTAACACTTCATTCTTTATTTAATACCTTAGAATAATCACAGTACCCATCACGATCTGAGAAAAAGCATAAACTAGGGGTTGCAAACTCACATGCCTAGCAAGGACAGGGTCATAATCTGAATGATAGAAGTGAGCTGAATATGGGAAACATGTAGCTAACTATCCTAGTCTTGACTTGGGTACTCACACTTTGGATAAGGACAGGAATTAGAAAAACATTTCTCTACCGTAAGAAGCAGAATAGCACAAATACTATGCTCAGGGACATAAGGGCAATAGGGAGCCATGGGGTCTGTGTCAAACTGTTACCTTGCACCATTGTCCGGAGTAAAAGCTGAAGGTCACCTCTAGATGGTTGTTACCATATGAGAATATGCTACAGCTTTATGGATTAGCTGGAAGCCTGGATTTTTAAATTAAATCTTCTAATTTAAAAATTGGAATTTGTTGTCAATATTTTAAAAACATCAATCAAAAACAAAAAAGGTCTGTGGGCTGCCAATTTGTGACCCCGGCTTAACCAATTTATTCTTGTTCTGTATGAAATCTGTCCCCCTCCTGTGCTTTCCCCAGGTTTTCCATTAACATCTGACCAGTCTCCACAAATCTGCTGGGCCAGTGATGTAGTACAGGAAACAGAAACATCCCTTCCTCGGCTGAGACACATGCATGTAGAGTTACTAGTGCTGGTTTATAACAAGGCGATGATGGGTTTTTGGAGAGTCCAGTGAAGGCAATCTCTCTCATTTTACAGATGTTTCTATTGATATGCCAGATCTACTTGATATCAACCATCTCCGAGCCAGGGGGTTACAACCAGGAGAGGAGGAACTTCCAGACATCAGCCCCCCCATAGTCATTCCTGATGACTCAAAAGGTACCACCTCTTGCCAGGAGGATGTTCTCTGCCTGCCATCCCTCTAAACCACTTTTCCCCACCACTCTGTTGCTGCCACCACCACCCATGGGGGTCCCTTGGCTGTAACTCATCACAAACACACAGAAGGGAGGCAGGGCTGCAGCTATCAACGTTAAACAGATGTCATCGTAAAACAGACCCATCATGAGTAGTTGAAGTGGACAGTTTTGACGTGACAATGTCTCTGGTTTTGATTCCCTCTCTCCCACCCTCTATCTCCCCCAAATGGGAAGGAGAAGGAGTGCGTTTTCAGTGGCGTAGTCTAGGGGAGCTGTCTCAGGAGGACCTTCGGACGACCAAACGGGGAAATTTAACCGTGTATGTTGGTTTTAAAAATCTTTACTTCTCACCTCCCCAACTTAGCCACTGTTCCTTACCAAGGGAGAGGTTTGGGTTTCTCTTTCACTCTGTGACCGCTAAATTGGTCATTTTCGGAATATGTCACCTTAGAAGGAAAAGGACATGCAAAAAATAGTTGCCTCACTTTGGTGGGTTCAAAAAAAGTGCCAGAATAATCTTGATTTAATTATGAGCTTGGTTATTCTGATGAAACTGTTTATTCTGGCTTCCTTTGCTCACCTGTTCCTTGTTCTCTCTAATGAGTCAATTAGGTAAATTAACGAATAATGATAGGGCACTCTGGGACCCTCTGCCGAGTTTTTTCATTGGTTGAGCAGTGAGTGTTATTGGTGCCCATGATCAGCTTCAAAAGAAGGAGGAGGGGAGTCCAGGAAGAGCAAGACAGGATTCATATCAGGTGCTGTGTCACATTGTTCTCTGGTGCTAAGTCAAATGCCAAATTAGGAGACGGAGGGTAGAGAAGGAACATCCTGTCACACGGTACAGGTGGCTCATCAGAGGGGCTAAAGAAGGAAGAGATCAGTATGGGTATCAGGGACATTTAGGATGGCTTATTAGCACTGCTGTCTGACGTTCATAACACAATCCTTGGTCTGTAATTATACAGAGCTCTTAGAAATACAGGAGGGAAAGTACTTAGTTCATTAAGATAATGGTCAGAATATCGTGCTTTAACTGATCGAAATGCCTGAAGCCTGTTATTTTCTCTCATTACTGTAATGACTTGATGTTATGTAGGCTATGGTGGCCTGGGTGTGGGGTCGAGGGGCTGAGGACAGTGTGGGGTCCCCAGGAGCAGGGAGAGTGGGCTGGAAGTGCCCTGGATTGGTGGCTTTTGTTTCTCTAAAACTCTTTTACATGGTTTCGTCTTAGTCTCTGTCCTCTGCTTTAATTTTCAGATCGCCTGATGAACCAGTTGATAGACCGTATGTATCTTTTTCTTTTAATTTTAAAGATATGGGGTACCATTCAGGGTTAGGTATACAAATGTTCATTCTGCAGGTACCCTTGTTGATGAGGTGTGTCCCCCCCCTTCCCCAGGCAGATTCCCACTACTGCCAATCCCGCTTCCCCGCCCCCCCCTGCAGTTCCCCGCTACTGCCAATCCTTTTCTTAGAGTATTATGATAATTGTTCAAGGTTCGCTTATGAGTGAGAACATGTGATACTCAGTTCTTTGTTTCTGTGATCGATTGATCACTTAGTATTATAGATTCTAAGTCCATCCAAGTTGTTGTGAAGTTCATAATTTTGTCCTTATTTGTGGCTATGGCTGTGGAATATTCCATCATGTATACGTACCACATTTTAAAAAGTCTAGTCCTCTTGGGCTGGTTAATAGACCGTATGTATCTTTTAAAATATTTCTGGGTGTTCTTATTTTTGTTACTGTCTAGCACATCTGTTTGTGAGAGCTCAGTAAAGAGCGCTGTTCTGTATGTGTGCATGTGTAGCTTTTCCTGGATGGGAGTGCTTCTTTGTCTGCAGGTTGAGTGAGCGGCAGACATAAACCAGTGACGTGCCCCCAGTCAGGTGGCCTCTGTGGCTCGGGTTAGTGACCATCACTGTGAGAGTCAGCCAGTCCTGGGTTGAATTTTGGTTCTGTCATTTATTACTTACCTTCTCTGAGCCTCAGTTTCTTCTGTGTGAATGGGGAATAATGATACCCTTTCTCCCTCTCTGGCCACATGACTAGGCCTCTTTCTGCAAGGACGGAACAGTGGTCAGTCGCTTTTTCCACTCCTGCTGTCACAACTCATGGGACATGGTGGGATATCATTCTCTTAAGGATACATGTTTGATTGGATTATTTATTGGTTTTATAGCTCCTTAATCCTGTGAGAGTTGATACTCTTGGTTTTCTAAAAATGACATTAAAACAATAAAGTATAGTGAATATTTAAATATTAATTAAGAGGAAGAGGGAGTGTTTAACACTAAATACTCTGAATCATTTTATCTATGAAGTCTTTCAAGAGACTAACTATTGGCCAGTTATGGTGGCTCATGCCATGTTTTGGAAGTCAGCATTTTGGAAGGCCGAGGTGGGAAGATTGCTTGAGCCTAGGAGTTTGAGACCAGCCTATGCAACATAGTGTTGCCTCATTTCTACAAAAAAATTAGCCGGGAGTGGTGGTACATGCCTGTAGCCCCAGCTACTCAGGAGGCTGAAGGCAAAGGATCACCGGAGTCCAGGAGGTCAAGGCTGCTGTGATCATGCCACTGTAACAGAGTGAGACCTTGACTCAAAAAAAATTTTCTTTTCTTGACCTTGATAGGCTGTTACACTAATATGTATCTTCCTTCTAAGAGGGAACTTTGATAAATGCATTGTCACCCATCTCTATCAATATCTATATGTTATTAGCAAAAGAAAATAAAACATTCTGTGTCTGAGCCCAAGTTAGGTTTGTAAAGCTATCTCTTCTAATATTTTAAACTTATATAATTAAACATTTTATTTCTTTCTGTACTTAACTTTTGGACTCTTCACTTCCCAGAGCTTGTTACTTCCTTTGAGATGGATGTATCTTTCTGTGAGATTTAAGGAATAGGCATTTGACCTGTAGATAATGCTTTTCCCTTCATATTTTGGTCTTAGGAGAGGCCACTGTGGAGGTCTTGAGAATGTCTGAGAGTCTGAAATGGTTCTGGGAAAACACTAAATCTCCCCATACGAAGTTAGAGAATTGGTTCTCAGTGCTTGGATTTTTTAGGTAATTAACATCCTTCCTATTTAGGTCAAATATAAATTCAGCCCAGATAGCTTAGTATTTGAATGGCTTAACTCAAAACAAAACAAAGTAAAAGCGTTATCTATTCACACCCCCAAAACAGCACCTTCTTTGGGTAGTACATGGATTAGAAGTGAAAAGTAGCTAAGACAAGAAGAGATAGTTTACTTTTTATACTAGAATATCCTGTTGTACTCTTGTAGCATCAGACATTGATGAGTCGTCCGTGATGCAGCTGGCTGAGATGGGCTTCCCTCTAGAAGCTTGTCGGAAGGCTGTGTACTTCACTGGAAATATGGGAGCCGAGGTGGCCTTTAACTGGATCATTGTTCACATGGAAGAGCCAGGTAGGTGGTGGGAAAATGAAATCAGTGATGCTAAACCTTGGGCCCTCAATGTCCCTTGTGGCTGTGTACTTCCAAATGACTTTCAGGTCATAATCTGCTGTAGTGGGGGACAAAGTCACAATCTTTGTCTTTCTTCTTCTTTTAAAAATAGCAGCTTTATTGAAATATAATTCACTCCTTTAAACTGTATGATTCAGTGGCAAAAAGACTGTTACCAAGATGTGAGATATACTTCTAGCTAATGATGAGGACTTGAGTTGGAAATATGGGTGTGAAGAAATGGAGACCCTTTAGTTAGCTTTTTTATTTTATCTACTTTATTAAGATATAATTCATGTGTCCACTCATTTAAAGTATACATTTCAATGGTCAGTGGTTTTTAGCAAGTTCACAGAGTTGTGCAATCGGTACTACTATCTAATATTAAGACATTTTTGTACCCCCGCAAAAGAAATCCTGTGCATATGAGCAGTCACTCCCCATCTTCCCACTCACCCCAGCTCCTGGAAACCACTCATTTTGCCTTTGGATCTAGGAATTTGCCTATTTGGGACATTTCATTAATAATTGAAATCATTTAATATGAGCTCTTTTGTATCTGGTTTCTATCACTTAGCATAGTGTTTTCTTTTTTTTATTTAAATTTTATTTTAAAGATGTGAATACAATTCAGGATTAGGTATACAAGTAGTCATTGTACAGTAAAGTTTGGGCCTTCCTTTTGTCCCCACTTCACCTGGTTTGAGATCAAGTACCCTTAGGGATGTTGTGTCTACCCCCCTCCCCTGGCAGTATCCCACTACTGCCAGTCCCTTTCTTATAGTATTATGGTAAATGCTCAGGGTCTGCTTATGAGTAAGAACATATGATACTCAGTTCTTTGTTTCTGTGATAGATCACTGAGTATTATAGACTCTAAGTTCATCCAAGTTGCTGAGAAGTCCATATGTTTGTCCTTTTATGACTGCTCAATAGTCAATCATGTATATGTACCACATTTTTTTTTTATCCAGTCCAGTTTCGATGGGCAGCACAGTTAGTTCCATGTTTTTGCTATTGTGAGTAGTGCTGCAATAGCCATGTGTGTGCAAGTATCTTTTTCATAGAGTGATTTGAGTTTCTCTGGGTATATTCCCAGTATGGGGATTACTGGGTCATATGGAAGGTCAATTTCTAGTTAGCATAGTGTTTTCAAGGTTCATCCATGTTGTAGAATATATCAGCATGTCATTCTTTTTAATGACTGAATAATATTCCATTGTATGGATCTACCACATTTTATTTATCCTTTCATCAGCTGGTGGATACTGGGTGGTTTCCATTTGGCTTTTATGAACATGCTGCTATAAACATTTGTGTGCAGATTTTTGTGTGGATATATATTGTGTGTGGAAAAACATATGACCTATTGCTGTGTTATATGGTAACTCTTTATTTAGCTTTTTGAGGAACTACCAAACTGACACTGTGGTTGAGTCATTTTACATTTCTACCAGTAATGAATGGGAGTTCCAATTTCTCTACAACCTCACTAGCCCTTGTTATGATGTTTTTTATTATAGCCATCCTCGTGGGTGTGAAGTGGTAGCTTATGGTTTTAATTTGCATTTCCCTGTTGACTAATGATGTTGAGTAGATTTTCATGTTTACTGGCTATTTGTATATCTTCTTTTGAGAAATGTCTATTCAAATCCTCTGCCCATTTCTAATGAGGTAATTTGTTGAGTTCTAAGTGTTCTTTTTATATTTTGGATACAAGTTTCTTAGCAGAGATATGATTTGCAATTTTTTTTCCATTCTATTTTTCCACTTTCTTGATGGTGTCCTTTGAAGTACAAACATTTTTAATTTTGGTGAAGTTCAGTATTTGTTTTTTCTTTTATCATTTGTGCTTTTTGTTTTGTATCTAGGAATCCATTGCTTAGTTCAGTGTCAAAAAGATTTACTTCTATGTTTTCTTCTAAGAGGTCTATAGTTTAAGCTCCTACATTTAGGTCAGTGATCCATTTTGAGTTAATTTTGTGTATGGTATGAAGTAGGAGTCTAACTTCTTTTATATGTGAATATCCAGTTGTCCCAGCACCATTTGTTGAAAAAATCTGTGCTTTCCCCACTGAATGGTGTAGTTACAAATCAGCTAAGCATAGGTACGAGGTCTGACAATTAAGTTCACAAACCATCCTAGAAAAAGTACTACATACCTCATCGCTGAATATCACTATGGTCATCTTCGAAGTACTCCCCCCTTGGGAAGCTATGTGCTGATGCCAGCACCTAGTCTACCCATCAAAACAATTTTGGAACTCTTTTTCTGGAATGGTCATCAGAGCTGTTGTTGCAAGAATGTTGGAGTTTGAATTAGAGTAATGGACAAATATTAAATTTCTTGTTAAATTTGGCAAGAGTGGGAGTGAAATCAGGAATATGTTAGTGCAAATTTATGGGGATAATGCCATGAAGAAAACAGCAGAGGGGAGAGAAAGCATCACTGTTGAAGAGAGGTCAGGATGGCCAGTAATGAGCTAAACTGATGAAAACATAGCAAACATTTGTTGAATTGTGTGTCAAAATCATCAACTGACTGTGAGAAGCATAGCAGACCAAATAAACATTGACAGGAAAACAGGAAAGTCTTAACTGAAAGTCTTGGCATGAGAAAGTTGTGTGCAAAAATGATCCCAAAGGAGCTCTTGTATCACGACAATATACCAGCTCACACAGCACTGTGAGGGCGTTTTTAGCCAGTAAACAAATAACTGTATTGGAACACTCCCCCCTCACTGGATCTGGTCCCCAGTGACATTTTCTTTACCTGAAGATAAAGGAAAAATGGAAAGGAAGACATTTTGATGACATTCAGGACATCAAGGGTAATACGATGACAGCTCTGGATGACAGTTCTGATGGCAATTCCAGAAAGTATTCCAAAATTGCTTTGACAGGTAGACTAGGCAGTGGCGTTGGTGCATAGCTTCCCAAGGGGAGGACTTCAAAGGTGACCGTGGTGATATTCAGCAATGAGGATTGGAGCAGTTTTTCTAGGATCAGTTCGTGCACTTAAGTGTCAGACCACATATATGGGTTTAATTCTGGAATCTCAGTTCTATTCAATTGATGTATATCCTTATGCCAGAACTGGATGGTCTCAATCACTGTACCTTTATAGGTATTTTTTCTTCCTAGTGCTATTTATTTCAAGACCAGGAAAAGTGTGATTGAGTGTAATTCTTTTCCTCAGATTTTGCTGAACCACTGACCATGCCTGGCTTCGGAGGAGCAGCTTCTGCTGGAGCCTCTGTTTTTGGTGCTACTGGATTGGATAACCAACCCCCAGAGGAAATTGTAGCTATCATCACCTCCATGGGATTTCAGCGAAATCAGGCCATTCAGGCTCTACGAGCAACGGTGAGCACAAGAGACTGTGTGTGTGTGAACACCCTTCTCTTTTTGGAAGTGGTTTGTATTTGTCTGTAGCAGCTGAGACTTTCTAAAGGCCTATGGTCATTTTAATGGTATTTGTCTGACTCCATACCCCATTGTGGCCCATAATATTTGTTTGCACACAGTGTATATAAAACTAAACTAAATGATTGAAGGAATCATACAGAACATATAGGAATAAGGAGATAATAAAACTGGGGAAGACTTCCAAACTGAAAGAAACTTCGTGTGATCTTGTGTGTTTGTTAACAGGATGTCAGATTTGACTTAGAGCTTGCTTGTGGCCCTAAAGCAAAGAGGGATACATGAGATTCCATACTCAATAAGAAAGTTCTTTAAGAAAAATAATGCTTTTCTGACACTAAGACCATGTAGAAATGTCTCTCAAAAAGTCCTCATAGAAGATTAAATGGCTCCTTAGAATTTTCTACCACTGTTTTCTCTGTAGAAAGAGAAGATTCTTTTGGTAGTCATGAACTTCGTGAGAATATCAGGAAAGAAGGGACCACAGAACTACAGGGTATAGAGAAGTCTTCCTCCTATAGTGCAGATATCTGTTTAATATTGAGGGAAAGTACTTTAAAAAAAAAAAAACCTTCCTTCCTTGCCACACGTAATCCATTTTTGAGTGGATGTCTGCTGCCAATAATTTCTTGCCTGTCCTGACTGTGTGCCTGCTAGGATTCACTGCTGAGGTCACAGTGGCTTTTGAATATCTCTTGAGATATTCAGTAGTTGAGATGATCTATTTCCCTTTAAAATGCAAAAAATTTCTCAACCAGAGTTTGTTTCGCTTGAGATATTTTCTTGTGCCCTACTTATTTCATTTGCCTGACTGTTTCATTACAGCTTCTGAGTATAAATTCTTTAACCTGCCAGTGATCACCAACCGGGGAACATGGACATGTTTTTATGGTCAATTAGTTTGAGCTACATGGAGTTCAGTTTGAAACAATTGTTAAAACTGTTAGTTTAACTAACCAGTGTTGTCAGCGTTAATCAGGGCATCAATCTTGTCTCTATTGCAATAGAGGCATAGTACTCACACTGGCATCCCTCTGTTTTTTAGAGTTGTCAGCAGAAAATACGGTGGGTAGAGGAGGTTGTGGGTGCAATTAGTGCGGCTTTAGAAAGGGCTGCACTTAAACACATGCCGTACCCCTTGGCATTCTGCACCCATCATTGATTGTCAGCATCTGCCCGCAGAAATGCTGAGCTAAGACTAATTGGGCTTTGGAATGTGATCTGCTGCTTGGAACTGTTTTGCAGTGAATCCAGTTACAGACCTCGGTTGGGAGACTTGTGAATGCCAACCGCACGTGCGTGTCACAAGCGGAGTCAGAGCTCCTTACTCAGAGGCACTTAGGACTAATGAATTCAGGCCTCCTGCCCTATCTGCGTGACATCTGGTTCAATGGTCAGAGCATAGTGATGCCCGAGGACTGCACACATTGAAAAAATGTTTTCTTTTATTAGAATAATAACCTGGAAAGGGCACTGGATTGGATCTTCAGTCACCCTGAGTTTGAAGAGGACAGTGACTTTGTGATTGAGATGGAGAATAACGCTAATGCAAACATTATTTCTGAGGCCAAGCCCGAAGGACCTAGAGTCAAGGATGGATCTGGAAGTAAGTTCTTACCTTAGAGGTTACCTGAGCAGTCATGGCTATACATTCAACTGATGCCCTTCCCTCCCACCACTACATGTTCAAGCCTTTCCCATCATTTAAAAGTGAGCACAGACCTTGTCTTCTCATAAATGGCGCCTTTTGCCATTTTGCAAAGGCCACAGTGATCTGAGAAAGTCTGGGGCTCACTTAGAGCATGTCACCTTAGCAGTATGTGTGCTTAAGTTTAGGGGTAGCTTTGACTTTGCCGATTCCTTTGAGGTAAAATTTCTTCATGGACCCTGGGAGCTTTTGTCAGAAAGAGAGTGTCTATTTTCCTAATGGTATTTTTTGAGCAATAGAGAAGCAGTCTCATATCCTTGATTGTATCCTTACGAATTCTGATCATTGATAATTTTCTTGAGGGGAAGTCTCAGAATGATAGGAAGAGGTGCCACAAGCTATGGCTTTGCCTCTTATTTTTTTATTTTTATCTTTATTTTTTTTTTGAGTTGGAGTCTCACTCTATTGCCTAGATTGGAGTGCAGTGGCACTCTCCCAGACAGCGCAGCCTCGCCTTGCTGGGCTCCAGTGATCCTTCCACTTCAGCCTCCCAAGGCACGTGCTACCACATCTGGCTAATTTTTGATTTATTGTAGAGACGAGGTCTCCCCAAATTCCCCGGCTGGGTCTCGAACCCGCGGGCTCAGGCAATTCACTTGCCTTGGCCTCCCAAAGTGCTGGGATTACAGGCTGAGCCACTGAGCCCAGCTGGTTCTGCCTTTTAAAAGCTCACACATATATGTCATTATGTACCAGGTACTGTTTTAAGCACTTTGCATATCAACACTCGTTTAATCCTCACTACAACTGATTTTACAGGTGAGAAAGCAGAGGCACAGAGAAACTAGTATCTTGCCCAAGGTCACACAGCCTTAAGAGGAGGAGCCAAGTTTCAAACCTAAAATCCATGTTCTTAACCACTGTTATACACAGCTTCTTGGGCTGTCATTGTTGACGTTAAGGTTCTTTAGCCCGGCATGCAGCACCTCTTCCAGTCAGATCTCAGCCCCCCTTATCTCAATGTTACTTCTTCTGCACCCCCTTACCTGCAGCTGGGATGCCCACACCCCCAGCCTACTCAGCTGTCGACAAGTCTCGCCTTGCTTTCCTGCAGGCCTTTACTCAGGTGAAGATTAATGCCACTTTGTGCAATGTCCTTCTCCCCCGCCACTGCACACTAAAATTCTTACCGTTATTCAGAACGTGGTCACAGATTCCATTCCTCTGGACTGCTTTCCCATGTTGTAATCAGCCCATGTTTACCTCATAGGTTAGGAATTCCAATATTAGCAGTACTTCCATTTGTGCCATATTTGGTCTTCACAGTAACACGATGAGGTAGATACTGTGATTATTCCCAATTTACAGGTGAAGAAACTGAGACAGAAAAAGTTAAGTAGTTCGTTGGGGTCATATAGCTCGTGCTGGGTAGAACCATAATTCTCATGCAGGCAGCTGCCTCCAGAACCTGTGCCTGTGGCCATTATGATGCATCGTTAGTTCTTCTGTTTTTAGAAGTATCAAATTGATCTTGCAGTAAAATGCCTTCCGTTTGCCTGGAAGCTTATGGCGGGCAGAGGCCATTTTACTTGTAGGAGCTGATGGTGCCTAGCACATAGAAAGTATTGACTAGCCGGGCTCGGTGGCTCAGCCTGTAATCCCACGCCTTTGGGAGGCTGAGGTGAGTGGATTGCCTGAGCCCGCGGGTTCGAGACCCGCCTGGGCAGGCGAGACCTCATTTTTACAAT